GCATTCTTCCTGTGTGTAGCGCCAGGCCCCTTCACACCTTGTGATGAGGATGATGTATGTTTGGTCTGCATTGCGACATTGATTGGGCTAGTCATTGGTATTCTAGYATTCSGCTRCGYTGTCTKGTACTRCGTGAGAGAGGTCRGTCCYGGTCAGGTCAGGGCTTATATCTAAGTCTTCCACTGCGCTACAAGGTGCCATTTTGTATGTATCAGGATGTACATTGCTTGTTGAGATTCCATTAACACCGCATTGTCCATTCAGTCCTTTTTATCACATTGTGGATCCTTGGCTATACATACATTGCCCAACTGGGCATGTAACTCTCTCTCTCTCTCTCTCTCTCTCTCTCTCTCTCTCTCTCTCTCTCTCTCTCTCCCCCCCTCTCTCTCTCTCTCACGCACACACACACACACACACACAAACATAGAGCACATGGCACAGAAGGAGTTCGTTAGGCATTAAAAAGGATGGCGGGAGGAGGGCTGTGCAAGGATGACATGCACAAATCAAGAAATGGTCCAACTTTTCAGTGGAAAGGAAATAATGGTGGGAAGTGTTTGGAAAAGCCCCTAGCGATAGTAGAGCTCATAAAAAAGGGTCAAGCACAACTGTTGCACAGCAAATTTCAGCTTTTATTTATATATCGGCACAAACAGAACTGCCCGGTAAACCGTAGGCAGAGAGAGAGAAGAGGACAACAAACGAGGGGCTGTGACAAACTGTTTCGTCGGAGTTTCACCGACTCATATATACATCGCAAAAATTGGACGCACAATTGTCTTCTGTGATACCTGTCACGCCATCACCTCGAGTCGCTGCCTGAACTAGCTTGCCGCCTCTGTAGCTCAGGTTCACTGCCAAGCCATCAATCTTAGGTTCCACAACCCATGCCACCTGTTTTAAACATGCCGCCGCCTCCTCGTCTTGTGCTCCGGCTTTCCACACTTCAAAGTCTGCCGCAACCTTCAGCGAGTTTATTCTTTCCATCAACCGCTTGTGCCATGCACGAAGCTCGGTCTCTGCCAATGTTCAAACTCTAAAAACATCATATTTCCTCCACAAGAGAAGAATGAAAGTCATACACAACCTAGCCTAGACATCTCTGAGCATTCTCAATTGACAAATAGACATTGTCCTGCATCATCAAGACCAAATCATTGCTTCCACTTATTTTCATCATTCTTTTCCTTTTCCTTCCTTCCCTCCTTTTCCCTACTTCCTTCCTTTTCCTTCCTTTTTTTCCCACTTCTTCTTTCTTGGGCCCCCCCTGTAGCTTCCACAAGCTGTTGATAAGCATTTTAACTCCAGAAAAAGAAAAAGAAAAGGAAAGGGATCAAAAAAAGGAGAAGTGAAGTGCACTGCACACACACTGACTGGAGAAGCACACTGTTGCGATTCATGCGTAGCAGCATACCACGTAGGAGGGGTAGGCCTCCCCTGGTACTATGTTGCATTTAGAAAGCAGCACGAACCTTATCGTATGAATGGCCACATTCGTGCTTTCAGGGCATGGACCTGGTCGTACAATGACCACGTTTATGCCTTCAGTGTCCAAACATAGCACCAGGCATTTTTTTCCTCTTCTTACTATCATCGAGGGGTGTGCAGTTCTTCTTCCTTTGTTTTGTCAGTTTTAAAGGG